CGAAGCTGAATGAACTTAGCGCCAAAATTCTGATGATATATTGGTAGATCTGCGTATTCATGAGCTGTTAGCATAGATGACCGTGAACAACAGCAAAATATTTTACAGTATGTCTTCGCAAAGCAAGGTTGCGACGTTTGAAACGAAGTTCAGGATTTTTTGAGCAAACAAACAGATTACAGATGTACTTACCTGAAAGAAAAGCGTGAAAAATTCATCGTTTTCAAGTAGATCTTTCCAGGATGCAGGCGGACGGAAGGAATTTGTGGTCTTAATCACAAATGATATTAATGAATTTGGAAACAAAAAAAATATTGCTGATACCTGACAAAGAGAGAAAACTCGACGAAATATTTTAGATGCGAAGTTCCAAGATAAAGTAGTTTCGGCAACCTAGGGAACTTTATTTGATGGAGGGGACAACAGATACGCGTAAGAAAAATAAATCGACCTCCAAAAATTTGTCACAGATACGACGAGCGAATTCATCAGGTAGAATATCAGATTGTGAGGCAAGAGCGTGTAGAGTTTTTAGTGACATCTCCAAAAGGCGTCTAAGACCCGTATCCTGAGGATTGAAGAGCAAGATCATATAAGAAGTCTGCTTAAACTAGGTTTCCAAATAACTATGAAAAAGAGTTTAACCCGTAAAATAAAACTGAAAGCTGTTTTAGAATTCAAACAAGAGTTAAACAAGTAAAAAAATTAGAAAGAATGATTTAAAAACACCAAAAATTGACTTCAAGAAAAAATTATTAAGCTTTCTGCAGATAATGTGATTTAAAAAACTTAAACTGTAAAAACCTGCCTCAAACTCCGTTTTAGCCTTTACATGGAAATCCCAAGTAATACTGAACTTGGTATTCCTCCATGATGAAGAAAACTGCTGAGTAATTGCAGAGATAAGCTCTCCACCAATTGCTTGCTAGATATAAATTCAATAATGAGATTAAATCCAAAAGCAAAAACATTACCAAGCGTTGATGTTGGTTGACCAGTAGATTATGTATCATTTCAAAAAGTTCCTCCTGATCACCTGTTTTACCATCAAGAATACCACGTTTAAGAATCATAGCTACAGAACGCAGGAATTCTGTTTGTGCATAGTGCGATAAACTGGAAGAAAATATACTTTACAAAAAGTCAAATTCTACGGAAAATTTTCACGAAAACCACAATAAGAAGTCGTCGAAATCTTCTATACTGCAAAATAAAATACCCACTCTTCTCTCTGAGCTACAAATTCCAACAACATCTTGTAGGTGTTAATTATCTGCTCTTTGGAAAGAAGCACCCAATCACGTAACACTATTTCACCGGTCATTTGTGCGATTTGAAAAAGAACAAACTGATTCTGTGTGTTTCCTAAAGTTTTGAAGAGTAGGATGCATGAGCGTATCCATCACTTCATCTACTTACTTATAACCTGCCCAGCTGTTTCGATTGTGAGTTCTTGCTTGATATTGTGGAACAACTGTTCGGCTTCACGACGACTTTCAAGCGAAACAAGATTGGGTGGACCCTGAATAACTTATTTCCTTTTTTGCTTTGCAAACAGTTTTCCATTTGT